CTGATTTTCAACTTTTGACTTGAAGCTCTGTACAAAGACAGGCTTTAACGAGAATAATTTCTTGNGCATTCGGTTAACCCACATTTACATGAGTTTTCTGCAGTTTTCTGCTCTTTTCTTTTCTTTTCTTCTTTGTCTTATACAGTAAAATGTTGGTGCGTATGTGTTTTTATTTTTTTGTTTTTTTGTCTTTGTCTTTTTCTTTCCTCTTTGTTTTTCCTATTCCATGCAGTTCTTTTTTTTCATTTTCTTTTCTTTTCTTCTTTTTCTTCGTTTTCAGTTATTCGTTTACAACTCGTTTTTTCATATGAAACTGTCCCTTTAGGACCGACAGGGTCATAGGATTAAGAAAATGCTTAATAAAAAAAAAAAAAAAAAATATACTACGTATGTAAAAAGAGAAGTAATCATGAAAACAGCTGTACATATATCTGCTTTCTCTAAAATTATCGATCTTAGAATAAGTCAATAGAAACAAACTTTCTTAATAGAAATATAAGTAACACTTGAGCTGATACACTTCTAATGAAAAGAGATCGATACAATTTGCAAAAGCGCGAGACACAGAGAGCATGAACCCTATATTGAAGTGAAATTCATTACAAGTGTTTCAGGCTTAATGCAGAGATATGCTATTGACTCGAACAAAAAAAAAAGTTACATTCGATTTGCTCGAGTTCAATTGAATCATTCGATGTAGTTGCAGTCTGTGATAATTATCTTACTTTTACAACGGATGACATATATTATAGAATTCATTTGTTCATGTCGTACTTTCATGTAAAGAATAGAAATACGAATCTGTTTCAAAATAATTAAAAAAAATCTCCTTAGTTCAATGACAGAAAATTCGAACAAATCTAAAATATCGAATAGAATAAATCAGAAACGAAATGACTGACTTTATGATCAGGAGTGTCATAATTACTGTTACTTTCACTGCCACTTACCATGGTAGCAGTTAGTTTTATTATGATCGAAAAACTTCCAATGTAGCAGCAATAAATGGCTTAGTTAATACATCAACTAGTTATCGTTGCATAGTAATCACTATCACTTACTACTTACTTGATACAGAATGAACAACCGTATGAACATGAGCGAAAGTTCAAATATTGGAATGAATACATTCATGATTAGTCTATGTGACATTAAAACTAGATTTCTAGAGATCAAGTCAAAATCTTAACAAGTCCATCGTAAAAGTATTTGATCATAAACTTCTAATTACATAGAATGATAGATTTTCAAGCTGTATCAGAATATATAAATGTTTTGTTAAAAGTTAATTTATAGTGATCGAAAATTTAACAAAAACTGATTCTGATGATAATGACAGAAGTAAATGTGTGAGTATCTGGTGGCGAGAGTGCCTTCATTACTGCCGATTTATTTTAATAGTTCATGATTTTGGAAAAAGTGTTTCTATTATGAAGATATATTCAACATACGGACTGTAACTATTTTTTTTTCGGACGTATGTATGTGCTGATAATTTTGAGTGTCGACATTATCTCGTTCAAATTTTTTTTTAATAAATGGACAAAGAATATTTGTTAGAGATTGCTGTTAAACTAACCATACATGCTAATATCTTTTTTAGGTACTTATTAAGACAATGATGAAAAGAATAAAAGAGTTCAACTTTCTTTCTTGTTCAAAAACAAAAATATATCGACTGTATCAGAATGATTCGTTGAAAAGTCTTTGCTAAGAAAAAAATTCTTTTCAAGACTTAGCAATAACTTAAATTAGAATGATCTTAGCGTGATGTCATTTATTTTTTGATATCCAGGAAAAAATTTGTCTGTCTTGCAATAAAATTACGTCATATCTTTTCTACTACCTTCGACTTCTTTTGTTCCTAGTGTTCATTGTAAAAAGCAAAATAATTGTAAGAGTTTGTTTGGATCGATGGAAAACTGCAAAAATAAATGTGAACAATATTTTTGAATTTCTCATAATTATAATCCATTAAATTAGTTTTTCATCTTTCTTGAATGAACTTGAACTCCTATTTTCTATACGTGATACAAAGAGTTAAATTGATAAATAGAAGAATATTTATGCAACATGATTAAATAAATAAATCTATATTGTGTTTTCTGCGTGCATATTGTTTCATTGAACCAAAAATCTCATGAACTTCACCGGTTTGTTGTTTATTTCCAAAAAAAAATAGGAACATTTAGATATGGAATCATTTCATTTGTTAATTTACATACTAGGTGATTTTGACATAGGATTCGAGTTCAATTAATTGCGGAATATTTCAATCAAGCAAAAACCGTTGTTTAATTATCAACGATATTTTGAGATGAACCTTCAAGCTCTCGATTGAATTCGCCATCGTGATCACCTTCTCTTCCTCTAGAATCATCACGTTCTAATCAAATGCATTATCAGAATAAACAAAAAAATAAAAATGAATATTCGTAGATGCGACCAAGTTTGATTTCGCAATGTTTCTACTCCAGTGTATCCTTTTTTCACAGCGCCTTTCCTTGCTCTTTTCTTTCCTCTCATATGGATTTTGCCCGTCCTATTCTTTGCATTGTCATATTTAGGATTTTAGCTTTCATATTCTTCTTGTCATCTGGATTTTTCCTAGCTTGCTTATCATCATGGACACTTTCATCGCACCCACCTATATATACAGGGTGTCCCATAAATAACACCCCGAGAAGAAATTTAAATATCTTCACCAGATGTCGACCAATCGATCTGAAATTTTTACCAGTGATAGAGGCATATTCAAAGTTTATATCCATAAAGACATGCCTAGAGAGACCCTTTGATAAGTATCACTATTGACCTCAACACAAAAATTTTACTTTTTCACAGATAGGACAAAAAACAATATACTTAACAAAGGGTTTTTCCAGGCATGTCTTTATGATTATAAAGCTTGAACATGTCTCCATCATTGATAAAAAAATCAGCTAGTTTGCTCCAGTCGTAATGGGGATATTCAATTTCTTTATTTGCCAAAGTGACTTTTGCACCACTTTGTATATTATTTTTTTTCTATCTGTGAACAAGTAAAATTTTTGTCTTGTAGTTAATAGTGATACTTAACAAATGGTTTCTCTAGGCATGTCTTTATGGATATAAATTTAGAATATGCCTCTATTACTGGTAAAAATTTCAGATCGTTTGGTCGACATCTGGTGGAGATATTTAAATTTCTAATCGGGGTGTTATTTACTGGACACCCTGCATATGTGCAGAGTGTAATTTCACAATAAACGACATTCTAATCAGGCATTCATCTTTCTTCGATGTATAAAGTTAGCCTCTCAAGATGTTCACATCTTTTACAAAATATTAGTCTTATACTTATACATCCTCGGAACAGACTCATTTGTAAAATTTTTATTCGACTGAACTAAGAGGTGAGCTAGAATAAATCATCGAGTTTTGCATTTTATTTATTCATCATCTAGTACGTTTTATTGGAAAACAAAACTACATTACAATATGCAGTGGGAAAAACTCTACAATCTACAATACAGAACTTATCTTATACATGCATCTTTAGTTTTCAAAATCGACGAAAGTTTGTGTGACTAAATTTCGATACAATGAAACAATTATTTTTTTACTACACGAAAAATTTCACTTTTCTGATTTTCATCAATTAATTAGTCAAATTGACGACTATAACCAATAGCTCACTTTAGACCAATTGATAACTACTTCGATTATATTTTTGTGAAATACGAATTAAAAGGAGTATTGAAGTATATAGGATAGACATTCACACCTCCCTCCTCCATAAAGGCCATCATAATCAATAGTGGTTCGTTACAATATATTAACCATTTCCTTAATGTATTTCTAGAGGATTAAGTAAAAGAAGAGTAAAGAAATGTTTCTCAACATACATGGAATAAAACAGTCTCTCTGTGATTAGCAACAGGAGCTACAACATGCTTCACATTTTAATCCCACAGGAATTGTGCTAATAGCCTTTTTCACTGACTCCGATATTATTTATTAGAGTGATATATACGAACTTCAGAAGAACAAGCACATTCTGTATAAAGGTGTGTTAGTTAATAAAAAGAAATGAAATCTGAAGATTTACGAAAAGTGATTATGCAAATGATTGATGATGGAATGACATTGGTTTAAATAGAAGATCTGCGCATGGTCGTACCTCCACCCCCCCCCCCCTCTACCAACACGAACCAGTGCAATCTAAATGACACTCACTACCCTGAATTACGAAAAAAAAAACCATTCACAGCATCGAAATTTCGTCACACAAAATTGGACCTATTTTGAAAACTAAAGATGCATATATAAAATAAGCTTTGTATTGTAAATTTTAGAGATTTTGCACGCTCTCACATTAGGCTATATCTTGGTTTTTTATAAAACACATTAGATGATGAAAAAATAAAGTACGACACGTAACCATTTATATTCTGGTCTATCCATTATTTCTTCAATATTTAAAGTTTACTTGTTTAAAATTAGAGTATCTTCTGAATATAAAATACAAATCAATTAGTTAATTTGTTGAGTTGATAATATGAAAGTCAATTCTTCCTATTAAGAAAATTGTATTTGAAATTAGATGTCACTGTATACAAATAATATTAAAAGCAGTGACGACGAATATTGTGGGTTTTGTTTTTCTTTTTCTCGTTCTTTTGTTTTCTGATGCTTCCTTTCATTGTGTTTTTTTTACCACCTAGGAAATCTTATTCATCTTTGTTCTATTGAAAGAATTGAATTGTTGACATGGGTAATGTAATACGAAATTAATACTTTGAATAAGATGTGTATATAAAAACGCTTAGTCACGAGAGTAAATCTAATAAAAGGAAGAAAAATTATTTACCTTAACTCATATTGTCATACACCGTTTTTTTACCATTCGTTTCGATTTTTTTTACTCACTTAGTGCTTCGTTCTTTTATTTATAATCGTTTATTCATATATTTTAAGAAATATTTTTATTTTCATTCGACAATTATTCAAAGTCAAATATGCAATATGATAATTGCGTAGATTATATTGAAAAAATATATACTCTACAATATGATGTATTACTTAAGGACAATCAATCAGCTGTAAATGAATATATTGATTTTTGTTCGAATCGGCAAATTTTATCAATTTTCGATTTTAATAACAAACAGTTACATCTTTTTGGTAGTTCCATATCAACTAAAGAAGCTGGTAGAATATTGTATAATTATCATTCGAAAATAAATTACTGAATAAAACTAATTTCTTTTTTTTGTTTTAATTTTTATTTGAAAAGAAAAACGATTTTTCGATTTGCAAAATGAATTATTGATTGAAAATATAAAATCACGAAAAATTGATGGCATTCTATGGTGGTATGAAGCATGGGATGCTACATGGCAACAATACAGTGTTAAAGTAACTTCTGATATAGAATATCATTACAAAACCAATATATCATCTGTAAGAATATTTCTTATAAATCATAAAATTATCTTTGTTTTTCTGTATAGATTACGCTCTTGAATGAGTTAGGTGAACAAGTAAAAATTGATTTTCGTAAACTTGAAGAAATTTATGGTACACGTATAAAACGTATTCGTCGATCGAAAATTGATGAATTACAACCTATTTATTGGAAACTAACTCCCCTAAATATGTAAGTTGAATTAAAAAATCTGTCTATACTTTTCTGATAACTGTCATTTAGAGAACGATTTTTACTTGATCCTGAATCAAATGAATATATTTATATTAAAGACAATTTTGATACAAAAATGAAAGGACATTATGTAAATATGCATAAATCAGTATTTTTTTTTTTCAAAAATCTATACATAACATATGTATAATTATTTTCTAGACAAGATTTATAACTATTGAACGTATTCAAAATATGCGATTATTTAAACAATTTTCTATATTACATGAAGAATATTTAACTAAATATGGCAAAATAGATAATGGAACGATGCGTTTTTTATATCATGGTTGTCCTGAATCAGCTTCGACGAAAATTATCGAACGAGGTTTTAATCGTAGTTATTGCGGTGTTAATGGTAAGTTTTATTTATCAATTGAATATATTGAATATAATGAATAAATTTCATAAGGATGTCTCTATGGACGAGGAGTTTATTTCTCAACGGATGTTAGCTTCTCAGATAAATATGCAAAACCAAATGAAAAAAACGAAAAATGTATGTTTTTTAGTCGTGTTCTTCTTGGACGAAGTATGAGTGAGTAAAAAACTTTCTTTTAATCTAATTCCACTGCTCATTTTCGTTTCAAATATTTAGTTGGTAACTCTACAATGCGTGAGCCAGCAGGTACATAACAAAAAAAAAATATTTCATGCATTTAGAAATGTTTTATCAAAGTATTACTTTTTAGATGGATATGATACGACAACCAACGGAACTCATATCTTTGTTTGCTATTATGATAGTCAGGTATGGAGAGTAAAATAAAATAAAAAACAGAATGAACGATAACGCTTAATCTTTCTTTTTTAAGTGCTATCCAGAATATCTTCTGACTTATATGTGATACCGATTCAGGTTTTGTTTTGAATCTTATCAATGAATTTCAATACGAAGAATATTTATAAATAGGATCATAGGGAAATAAGCTTTTCTTTGAAGTTTCAAAATGATGACAAGGCAAAAGTCGAGGCTTCGAATAATTGTTCTAGTTTCATTTGAATACTCAGTGAACCTTTTGGTTTAAAATTCATCAATGCAAATTATTTACGATGGCTGTTTTATCTTTGATCTGTACAGTATGAAAAATAAAGTCGGTCTTTCGCTTGTATATTGTTATGAGTAAAATATTTTTTGTATCGTTTTGATTGAGATTTTTGTATTATACTCATTCTTTTCTTTGTTTTTTTACTATTAGTGGCGTAAAGAAAATAAATAATATTGATTTTTTACCAGGTGAATTAAATAAAATGATGAGTTATATGGTTTTGTTTTTTTTTTGACAAAAAGAAAAAAAACCGTGATCGGCAAGCATAACAGTTGTATGTGATCTAATAAATAGAAGAAGACATATCTCCATGAGTTACGCTTTTTTTAAAGCTGAAAAAACAAATGCTTAATCCAATGTGTCTGCTTATTCACGAAAAATTTGCCTAAGAAAGAAATATTTTGAAGGATTAATGAGTCAGTCAGATCACAGGTAAATAAAAAATACGGAAAAGAAAAAAGTCACAGTCTTGATTGAAAAAGAAAACGAAGAAAAAAAACAACACACAAGAACGTCAGAAAGAATATTATGTCGATGCTTAACGAAGACTAAGTGCTTTTTGTTTACTTCGTAGACATATTCGTATCTGCATTAAAGATTCAAGATAACTTATAGCAAATGTATGCACAGTCGATGGACGCATGAGACTTTTTCCTAATTCAAACAATGAGTCTGATGATTGATTATCATCCTCATTTTTCTTTGTTGATAATGAAGATTCATGATTGTTGTCTTCATCTGATTTTGCTTTTGCTCTAGCAAATAAAAAAAAAGAATTAAATTTTGAATTATTTTGTTACGCATAGGATATTGAGAAGTAGTGGCAGAGGTATTCTGATTCCCTTATAAAAAAAAAGATTTTAAGAAACTTTCTCTATATGGTATGATAGAAAAAACAAGGCTCTAGATTTCTCTGATCATTGATCATTTTTCAAGTAATATCATAATAATAAAATTTCGGTAAGAATTGTTTGTTATTTTCATTGACACTTTTTATTCAGCGGTAGTATATTATGAAGAAAAATAAATACAACTTTATATTAGAGAAGATAATTGTCATAATAGAAATAAGAATATTATTCCATAATTCATAAGATAGTGCTAACAAAATATTGATGTTATTTTGATACTAATCTTATTATAATATTCATCTAACGACAAACCAGTTTTTTTTCATATCGTTTTATCCCTTTCCAACCGGCTACCAGAAGACAGACAGCAAAAAAATCTTTTCGTGCATTTTTGTTGCTTCTAGACGATGGGGATAGGAAAAGTCTATTTTTCGGAACCAAAAAGTGCTTCGGCATCTAATGGCTTGATGTTTCCTTTTGGAAACATTCAGTCACTATGGTTCAACATTTATTTTGTTTTCGTCTATCAAAGGGTGCAGGTGTGCGGATGTATGTGTGGGTGTGGATCTTCTCCTGACCTATACATACCCCACACCCATCATAACAAATAGCTCGTACCGAAATTTTATTATTATAATATGAGTTGAAGAATGATTAAAATATCGGAGAAATATAGTTTTATTTTTATTATCAGCCCCTATACTGAGACAATTTCCTGAAGCCTTTTATAAGAAAATAAGATAACCTCCTCGCCACTACTTTTTTTATGTCGTAAAACCAATTTACTTATTCGATTGTTGTTCACTATTGCCTTGAAGTTCTTTTTCAAGTTGATCACATTGATTATCATCTAATTTTGCTTGAAATCGAATATACAATTCATATTTTTGAATATTTTCTGTAATATTTGTCCATTGTTCATTAAATAAATATTCGATTTTTTGTAATTGATTCCATAATTTTATTTCATTTTCATTCTCACTTGCTGTATTTGATGATGATTGTTGATCAGTTGCTTTCTTTTTTGATTTTTTTGTATTTGATGAACGATTATTAGGATTTTCACTGTTATCAATTAATAAAGATGTTTTATTAAACAATGTAGCTAAAATTGATTTAATTGATAAATATAAACTATAAATATACGATATAAATTCTGTATAAACAGAATAATATTCAAGTGGTGATTGTTTGCCAGATAAATCATCAAGAAAATTTATATTATCATTATTAGCATTGTCAAGTTTTTCTTGACAATGTTTCTGAAATGATGTTTTATCTAATGCTTGTAAAAGTAATTGATATGAGCTTTCAAGTTGTTTTATAATGTCATTTATGTATTGATCAATTTTATCAAAATGAACTGTTGTATTTGATAATGTTATTGTTGATGATGCTGCTTCTGTTGTTTTATTTAATATTAATCCATCAAGTAAAATTTGAATAAATAATGGTATTGATTTGTATAATTCAAGTTCAATAATTGATTGAAATTCACATGGAGTTATAGTTTCAATAGATTTTAAAGATTTTGTACATTTATCAAAATCATTAAGAATTACTTTTAATGCATTGAAAACATTTTCATCAGGCATACGAATAACAAATGTTGTAGATGCAGATTCAGTTTTACTAATGGAAGTATCAACATATAATGTATGAAGAAAACTAAGTATATTTGAACGAATATAACATAGAATTGTACGTTGTTGAAAATCATTTATTTGATATTGACGAAGAAATGAATCTTTATATGATGGTGATTGATATGCTGTTTGACCGGCGTTATCGGCAAGAACTCGATCAGCATAAGTTAATCTTTCAATTGATTTGTTATTGTCATCAACAGGATCAAAACGTAATCGACTAAAATAAATATTAGAATTAATTTAAAGAAACTCATCGTGTACATCTAGACCAAATCAACACGATCGTTTACAAGTACATACAGAAAAATTGCTGATTTACAAAACAAAGTTTTACAGTTATATATTTCCGTGTCATCTACAACTTAAAAAGACTCCGTAGAGTACTTTCGTAATTTTCCTGTATACCTCAAGAAACGCTTGGGTAATTACCGAAATACCCGACACTGTCTGAACTGGTTGGATAGTTTCTGCATCCGAACCATAGCTGCCACCAGTCGAGTTTTTCGAACGAAACTCGACCGATCCGATTTCAAGTATGAGCCGAATTCCAGAACTGAACCCGAACACCGAGCCAGAGTTCAAGTTCGGTGCATGTCTAGACCGAATAATCCTTTTCTTCTTACCCTTCTTTACAATGCTTGTATCTTATAGAGTATGGTCAACCTGCAATCATTAATAGGTTCAATTATAATTGATTTAATACAAAATGGAAATCGATATAATTCTATAATGAATNTTGTTATTTTTTTCTTTATTATCAAATAATATTTGATTTGACGGATGTTTAAATATATTCATTATAGAATTATATCGATTTCCATTTTGTATTAAATCAATTATAATTGAACCTATTAATGATTGCATATAAATAAGTGAATAACTAAGATAATAATCCGAAAATGTACGAATTTCATTAATACGTAAAAAATTTCCATATTTATAACAAAACATAATTTGACCCCATGAATCATCAGTATAAACAAGTAAAAGATTTGTTAAATAATTAAAAAAATTTCTTATATGACGATAATTTGTATGTATACGTAAATAATGATCTGTTAATAAATAACCAAGTGAATAATATTGAATATTTTTTATTTCAAGACGTTCAAATATATCTTTCATTATTGTTATACAATTAAAATTTAATGCCATTTTATAAATATATAATTTCGTATCAAAATTGCTTGAATCTTTTTTATATGTACGATCTAATAGAGTATATAATTCAGATTTTGATTGATTCATTTCATCCATTATATTAACTATTAATAAAAGTAATTCAATAGAAAGATGTGATGGAGTTGATGATTGATTAACTACATCAAGTAAACGTTGAACTAATGAACTAGAATTTTCCTTCAACCATGAACTATGTATTTCACCACATAATCGAGCACAATAGAGTATATTGATTAAATATTGTATATTATTTTGACAAGTTTCAGATGTTAATTGATCGATAAGATATTTATGAAGATGTGATCGTTCGTCAGATGAAAAATATTCTAATGATCGATACATATCATACATGACTAAACTGGTAGTTTTTAATGAATATGTCTCAATATAAGATTTGATTTCATTTAAAAATAAATTTGATAGATAAGTAGAAGCCACTTGAGGTAATGTTGTTGAGCTATTTTTGAGTTTTGCAAGTTGCCATCGAAGACCAAGTTCAATACGAGCCAAATGAATACTACGCAAATCAGTAGTGTCATTGGGAACAGCTACAATATTATTAAAAAAAATTGAATTGTACATGAACGATGTTCTATTAGATAACAAGTGATCTGAGAAATATTTTTGATTTAAAAAACAAATACAGTCAATTTTGAAAAATTTGATTTAGTCATTCATCTTATTATTATTGACAATTGGACAGTATCCAAGTCTCTAGTATCTCTTATTCTCCAATATAAATATAAGAATAATGTTTATTTTTCCCAATAATAGAATTTTCAATATTGATCTCTCAGAATACAAGATATTAGAAAAACTGATACTTACATAATAAGCTAATCCCGTTGAGAACTTTATTTATGTAAAATTTGAACTCCAAAAACTGAATTTAAACAACATCTAAATGTTGGAAAAATACCTCTGCCTTTCGATTATCTTGCAGTATAGAGTACTGCCTAGTGACAGAACCATTAGTCCAATATCTTTCTTACAATTAATACTAGCTGTAGCTCTAGACATAAAGCTGACCTGGCTTAGAGTTCTTGTGCTCAATTGCTTGAGCTCCCCATACACACTAACTAACCACCACGTAGTCAGTATGGTATCGGACGGGTGATCCGAGACAAACAGCCGTTAACAACTTGTTCAGCATCGTTCCATGGCTGGCAGTACCGTAGTTTGAACACAGTTCTTATTTGATACATGTCGAACAACGTAGTGATGTGCCGATGAGTGTGTGCATGAAGAAAAGACCCACCCTCGCATATACACCTACAGTCATAGTCACACCCTTGATTACAGTAATACCTGTATTACTAAGTGAACGTGAAATGATTCAGCAAACACTTTTCACTTTCGCAATCTAAAGTACTTTTCGACCATTTCTTACTCGGATATATTTTTTTTTGACCTTTCTACGACTAACTAACGTAGTCATCCGACCATGACGGTGACCTGAGTACAGTATTGTACTAGAAGAATTTACCTAATCAAAAACGAAACTCATCTGAAAAATGATTTATCACTTAGCATGACTCCTATATTCCATGAATAGATATACTGAGATAAAGTTGTGCATCTTTGAAAAAACATTGAAATGATTTTTCGAACGGATTTGTTTTTCTTTTTTTTATAAATCTTTCTAATTATATTTGTCATTTAGAAATAATCTTACTTAAAATAAATTCATGAAGATCATTTATTAATTCTTCTTGTTTTGTATTGTCAAATTTGAAAAAAGTATCAAATAAAACTTCATACCAATTCCACAGATAATTATCTTCATTTAAAAATTGTTTTGCTAAACGATAAGTATTATCTAAATTGCCTGCTTTAAAATTATAAATTAATAATTTATCATGTGAAAAATAAGCTGGTAACATTGATTCATTTGATGGTGATTTTGTCAATGCATCTAAATGTTTTTCAAGAAATATTAATGCTTTAGAAAAATCCTCTTTTAATTCAAGTGAATGTAAATATAATAAACATTCCATTTCACCATATGGTTTTGTTTGTTGTTGATTTTCATCGAAAAATTCTTTTTCAAGCATTTTTATTGCCATTGGAATATAAAGTGTTTGTTTTAATTGATTAGAATTTTCATCGATTTGTAAAAGTACACTTATAACAGCCCAATTATAATAAGGAATCTTTCGTGTAAGTTTATAAAGTTTTTGTGCTGTTAATACTTGATTTTTATAATCTTTCGTACGAACATATGCCATAAATAATGAACATAAAAATTCTTCACTTGTTGGTTCACGTTTAGTTGCTGCTTCATAAAGCCAAACTACTTTGTCAAATTGTCGTAAATCTTTATAATATTGAGAAAAAAATGTTAATGCATTTTCATCAATATTTGATGCATCACCAGCTGGTGCAGTACGTGTAGTAGCTGAAGCAAGTGCATCTAATTCATTAGCCAATGCGCGTGCATCTTCATGTCGTTCAAGTTTGAGTAATACAAGACACTTAAGAGCTTTACATGCAGTAAAATTTGCCTGTTTTTTTAATAAACGATCGATTTCTGTTAATGCTTTACGATAACTAAAAAATATAAAAAAAGAATATTTTTAGTATTAAAAAGACTAAAATTTTATTAATATATCATTGTTCTCTAATTGTGATAAGAAGAAATTTTTCTATCTAAAGATCTTTTAAAGTGTCCTCTATTAAGTATCAATCTGTACAAATTTTGAAAAAACTTAGTTTCAAGAACTTCTATCGGAAAAAAACATGGACTATCGATCATTATAGGTTTATTAATAATTGCCACAGCTCTATGTATCGTTTTATTCTCGTAAGAGCTTCTCGTCAATCATGCCCACTCTCTAAACTATCTGAAATATACTAATAAAGTACACAAGCTACGTTCTGAACATTACTTTAGAGCAGTCATATTTTTGAGTTTTGTTCTTAATGTTAATAGCTAGGAAGATTCTGAACAAACATTTGAGTAGATAAAGCGGTTTTCTATCAAAATTGTTGAGCCTGAAATCTCCAATAAAACTACTTGATTGAGATTTTCTGAAAAATCAAGACTCCACAAAAAAAGGTTTTTGGCAACAACTTTATTAGGTAGAGTCAAATTTAAGTGTGTTTACTCTTTTAATGACCTTCCTTCATCAAGCTACATTCAATTTATGGAAAGCACTAAAGCGACAAATACGGGACCGTTATTAAGATTTTTTATAAAAACAAAAAGAATGTTTCTTAGGTTTTCTATAAATTGAATGCAATTCGATGAAGGAATGTCATTGAGAGAGTCAATACATCTCACTTTGCTCAGAATTATTTGTTCTATCAAATAAAAATATTTCTAAAAAATTCGATTTTTCAGATATCTTCATTTAAGCAGTTTTATTGAAGTTTTTAGGTTCACAAGCCCGATTAGAGGATACTTTAAACATTTGTCCGTCACTGTATTCATCAATTGCTTGAATAAAAGACATTGTTTCATAGTCGAAGAGTCCTATTCACTTCCACGAATACATTTTTGTGTTTTTCTCAAAGTCACTATTTGAACAAAATAATTCAAGTTTGCCTCCTTCCTTCTCTTTCACACGATACAATTAATCGATCTCAAAAACTTTACTCCAGATACTAACATCAAAATGAAGCGAAAATGTTTTCTTCTTTCTTCAAAATGTTACTTCTATTACTTGAGAAAAAGTGTGAGATCCTTAAAAAATACTTTTATGTGTTCATGTGTTCTGATTTAAATTCTGGTATATTAGACAAGTTCACAATTCATACTTATGAATTTCCATATAATCATAAATGGGACGAAGACGTCGTTCATTAACTTCCAGCCGTGGATTTGCAATACGTTGCAGATCACTCTGATGTGAATGTGCTAAAGTTCGAGCTGTGAGTGGCACTCCTGCTGACATCTGAAGAGAATATAATAAAATAACAAAAAATGAAATATATGTAATTTTAGATTCTTGGTTTTTTTCTATTCAATTGTTAAATACAAATATTAGAAGCAAGATACATGAGAATGAGAATTATAGATAAATAAATGCCAATGAAGGGAGACGAAAAAAGAAAACAGAAGACAAAAATCACATATTGTGGTTTGTTTTCAAAATACTCTATGTATATACATAAATACGATAGATCATATATAAGATTCCATTTAAATTGATATAAACTCATCGATTGATCATTGCTATTATGTGGTTATATTATTTATCATATTTCATGAATTACGAACTTTGCCTGGAATATATTTATCGTGATCAATAGTTGGTTCTTGTAGAAAAACATGAAGTGAACGTTCATTTTGAGCTAATGGATGGCCAGCAACTCTATATGAATAAAAAATAAATAAATATTTTTTTTTTCAAATTAGATTAATATACTTATTAATAAATTGTTCGAGTCCTTTACGTCGTTCATCAATAAAATCATCTTCAAAAATGCCATCATCACGACGAAGAAATGCAGGCATTTGTCGTTTCCATGCTTTTGATGGCAATGGTGGAACAACAATCTATTGAAAATAAAATCATTTTTATTTTTGTTAAATTATTAGCATGAATCTTACTTTACTATCACGTTCAAGCTCTTTACGTAACCATTCAAAATCTGAATAACGCCGACGTACCGAACATTCTTTTAGACGAAATACTGGTAAATTTGTCTATGAAATCAAAGAAAAACATACATTTATCGAAATGCATTGTTATTACTTTCATTCGAACTTCATAATCAGTATATCGTTTTCCAGCAAAGCCGTGTGTTTCAGGATTAAGTACTTCAATTTCTAAAAAATTAGCTGGTGGATCATAACGATCTTCAAGTGAAATCTACATAGAATTGAAAAACAACTTTTACAAGAAAGTTAAATTTAGTATCTATTTATTTACAGGTCGAGTTGGTAATCGAGCAATCTCTCGTCGATTTTCAGATTCAATTGTAGACATTATTATCTAAAATACATTAGTAATTAAAAGATAAAAAAAATTGTAAATAAAATAGTAAACAAACACGTCATAGGTCCATAATTCTCGTCTCCAATTCAATGCTGTGTAATGTACTCTATTTATTTTCGTTCGAATTCATACGGGATCACTAATAGTGACATCTTATGTTAAAATATTTCATTGGTTTGATACATTGAATGTATCAAGCGAGAAGGTTAAATCAACGAACACATATACAATTTAGTATTGCTTGAATATCGAATTAAATAATGAGTCTAGGTCATTTTCATTACTGTGTGATTAATACACTATTTTACACTGCAGGAGAGTGAAGGTTGTATCGATAGTAGACAATATAGTACAAAGTTATTTATATCAATAGATTTTTTGTTGAAACTTTTTTGACAAGATCTTATCAATTTTTCTTTCCAATGGAATCATCGCAAGATATATTAATTAAAAATAATCACTGATGGTTAAAAACATCAGTTCAAAATCGACAAATATATTATATGTTCATTCAAAATATGTCAAAGTATATTGAAAAAGATATATTTTTCAGATTGTGATACTTGTCCTATTCCATCCAAGTGCTACACAAAACAAAAAGAAGTTCATTAAATAATGTCTTCGCGTAATTTTCTCTTTCATTGTTGTTTCAAAATGTATTTTATTGAGTTTTTTAGGTGTTAATATATCTATGCGTTATTTTTTATGGTTTTCTTATTCATTACCATGTTTAGCACTATTTTCTTGTATTGGTTTATCTCTATTAAAAGATTTCGAAAAATCAACTCGTACACATTGCCAAGTATTTAATTTTCTTCCATCTATATCAGCATCGATTGGTGATTGTGAACCTCAACGTTATATTTGGCGTTTATGTTTTGCATTAGATAGTATTCCTCGTTATATAATTGCTTATTTACAATTTAAACGTTTATTAAATCGACATCATATACTTTTACCAGAACTTTATCAATTAGTACAAATAACAAATAGTTTAATTCATGCTCTTGAATTAACATTTCTTCTTTTATTAACATATATTTCATCAAATGAAATAAAATGGATACATGAATGTTCATTTGTTGGTTTTATGATATGTTCATTAGTACATATGCTTCTTACTGTATTAATTGATTATTTTTGGCCACGAACAATAAATTATCGTGTAAGTGATCAAGAAATTATGGTACGTGCAAAACGATTACAATGGTTTATTATTAATATTGGATCTTTTTTTATTTCACTCTATTTCTATTTTCGACATAACGAACATTGTGAACCAAATATGTATTCAATGTATTGTCTTTTTGAATATTTTGTTGTATTAACAAATATTGCTTATCATGCTGTTATTATGAATGAATGGGATCAACAAACAGGACAATTACAATTTTTTTATTAAAAATAAAATAAAAATATAGTCTATCAGTTAATTAATTTATTAATTTTTCTATTCTTCTTTTTCTCCTCATAGATTATGACAGATAATGAACCGAGTAAAAAAGAAAAGTTTCGTCAAGAAACAAAAGAAGAAAGACGCACTAGATTTAAAGAACGTCGTCGTCAAAAAGCAGAATCAAAACTAGTTGGATTTCGTCAATCAACAAACTATATTGATTCAGCATTAACAAGTGAATCAATATATTATATTGATTCACAATCACCTAAATTACGTAAAGTTTATCCATATTTTTTTACATGGATAACATATGCAAAAGAACGTTGGTACGGACGAACTATTGAAGATGTTTTTCAATATGAATTTCGTCGTGCTATATTAAAACAAAATTTTGATGATCTTGTACGTAATGGTCTTGTACGCATAAATGGTCAATGTATAGAAAAAAATTATATTATGAAAAATGGTGATAAACTTGAACATTTTACACATCGACATGAAGTACCTGTGATTAATCAAAAATTGAATATTTTAATTAATAATGAAGATTATTTAGTTATTGATAAACCATGTTCAATACCTGTTCATGTATGTTTACCTGTATTCAAAAAGAAGTTTGAATTGATCGATTTTTGTACAACTGAATTATAGTGTTTTTAAGACCTTCCTCAAAAATCTAACTTCGATAGGATAGGGTATGGGGAAAGAGAAAACCCATACCCACGTCTCGCAAGTTATTGTAAGTCTCAAATGTATGGCTCTATAATTCACAAGATTTGATTACCTCTCAAGAATAATTTTTCATTTTGCAGATCTAACTCTTCAAAAATAACATACCTGATTGCTCTAAACATTATTGGTTGTTCAGATAGTTCGAAAGATCATTCAGAGCCCCCTCCACAAAAAAAAATCTTCGAGAATCGAAACTATTTTTGTAAATTTGTAGAGTAAGCAACATGTTTATCGAAAAAATCATTTTTTGGCAAAAAATGAGTGTTCTGAATGGGGCTTAACATATTTCACTTTAAGTCAAAGATGAAATAGCGAGTGATTTTTTCTTAGAGGTGCTGATCTAAATGGGCAGATCGAACCGGATCGGCATGAGTTATTCTTCATTTTTTAAAATCCTATAACAGTCAAATAAGTTCTCCAATCGATCATATCTGCATCTTAATCACTACAGTCATGACATGATTATCCTAATTTACTACTTTAGCACTATTCGCTATTTATTCTAGACAATTATCAAATTTTTTTGTTTATGTCACATGATATTGAAGTCAGTTGATTAAATATTAAAAGTGTACCACGATGGATTTTAACTGAATCTAAGAGTTTGATTTATATTTGCCTGCAGAGATAGTTTTTTCTTTTCAAAGATTAAACACTTTTATGATCATTTTTTTGTTGTCTCTACTCCGTCGAATTGGTCAAAGTGATCGGTAACTGTTACAGATTAATATTCTACCTTTATAGTTTTCGATTGTTTGAGGAATAATCAATGACTAAAAAGTTCATATGTGAAGAGAAATGGATTTTTTTCCATGTGAATTTTTTAGGATATACTAATACTCTTTAGAATTCTTTATGAACATCTAAACAGTAAGTTTCAATAGAGCATTCTTTGTTCCATCAAATGTTAAACTCAAAGGAGTTAATCAATTGATAATAATAATCACATTTTTTTAAAATTCATAGATGACGTACTATCCTCAAGAAGTAATCAGCATTTTTCTAAAATCGACGTACGCATTCATTATTGCAAAATAAGTCGTTATAAATAGTTCAGTGATGAACTGAAACTTCATTCTCTATCGAATTGATAGAAATATGCATTCGTTGTCTTTATGTTTAGCCATGTGGAAAATATCGATTCAATACTGTATTAGCAATACTTCATTATGACTATCAGTTATCTAATCTACGTACTGTTCATCGTCTAGATCGTATGACTTCAGGTATATTAATCATGGCTAAATCAGCTGAAAAAGCCCGTGCCATTGATTTTAATGCTGATCGTTTATCAAATAATGGTGTTAATAAACTTTATCTATGTCGTGTACGTGGTGAATTTCCTTATATAAATCAAATTGTTCGAGTTGATCAACCAATTGAAACATTTTCATTTCAACTTGGTCTTACTAAAATCGGTGGTAATAAACAATGTCAAACATTATTTCGTCGTGTAACATATGAAGAATTAAAACAACAACAAGAAATTCATGGAAAATTTATTTTTGATTTAACTAATGAAACAAATGAAAATATTGAGACAAAAATTGATGAATCATTATATAAATATTTAGATCAAGATGAAAGAAAAACAAGTTTAGTTTTATGTCGACCATTAAGTGGTCGAATGCATCAAATTCGTGTTCATTTACAATATTTAGGTTTTCCAATTGTTAATGATCCACTTTATAATGCTCCAGATATATGGGGTCCATCAAATGGACAATATGGTCAATATGAACATTCAAATGAATATGTTATTGAAACATTTATTAAACGACATAGTTGTGAATATTGGTTATTGAATGATATTGACAATGATGATGAAACAATCAATATAAATGGTAAACGAATTATGGAACAAGATGAAGAACATATTAATGATGATGTTAAACGAATTAAAACTGAAGAAATAACAACAATTGATGTAAATGATGAAAATGCAGTTAAAGCATACATTAAAGAACATTGTTTTGAATGTTTAAATCGTTTTCGTGAACCATCACCTGATGATCTTGTTATGTTTTTACATGCATTACAATATAAAATTTCCGATGTGACCACTTTTACTAGCTCATTACCTGAATGGGCTCAGATTTAAAAAAAAACAACAAGAACAGATCTTTTTCGTAATACTTCTTTTTATAAATAAGAATCATTATATTGAGTTTATATCTTTCATTGATCCAATAATTTCATCCAGTCATAGAACTACATCTGATAATAAAGTCAACAGTTATATGCGTCTTCTTTTACGAAAACAATGACATGGTAGTGCCGAGTCGGTATTTCTCTAGAATTCTAGCATATTTACTTTTACTTTGGCAAAATCGAGAGTTTTATTCATTGTACCGCTCTACTGTTTCTTCGGTTTATTTCGGATGACTATGTAAAACTCTTACTTTTGTGCGGTCTTGTTACTAATCGACTACTGAGTCTATTCAAACTACTCGAGAAAAAAGGAAATATGAATCACTTTCATGTCACTTCCTTTCATAATGTTCAAGTATGTAGACATTATATAGTACCAATAACAAACAATTTCATGTTTTTACTTATATGGCATGAGTATAATATTGAATGACAATCCTCATTTTAGTAATGAGTGTGCTGGTAAATCTTGAAGAACATTCGTGTCAGTGTATATGGTTAACTTATTCCTGTTTCGGACGTTCGAATTTTCATGTGTCTGATAACCATAAACAGAAAAAATTTAATTTTGAATATCTTCATCAAGCATGATAAACAAACTTGTAGTCTCTTTTTTGTTCGTACTCGATTATTTCGATTATAATCTCATCATAGGCATTCTTTTCGATTTCTATGTGCACTCGTACCTTCTACTATACTAAAGAAGACAATATATAAAATCTTAAATCAGTCCAAAACCACGTAATTTTTGCCATCTTGTTTATCTGTCCTTCATTCATTTTGATCAAGTTGTTCTGTTGTGAATTTATGTTTCTTTATCTCTCAACCTTCTAATTTTCACACTTCTGAATTTCCCATTCCGAATTTAAAGACACTATTCTACCTCATAGGTGAACTTTGTATCAATGAATCGAACATCAGATTCAAATCAGCAGTGACATAAATCCAGAAAATTGTTACTTTATCCAAAAGTCCGCTGAAGCAGTATGAAACTCTATTTTTCATTCAAATACAATAGACAATGAACGAATGTGTGTTCGGCTTTGTATGGCGTGAACGTTGCGAATTTATCCAAAAGTACGCCAGAAAAGTGTGAGAATTAAGCTTTTCTCTCAGATGAGGATGAATGAATAGAAAACAAAAGAAAAAAAGCAAATTTATAAAAGATTTACAGTACTTTTAGAGAATATTCTGTAGCAATCACTTGACTCTATATTCTATCTATCTCGTAGCCACATATACACATGCATTAATCGATGTTTGCACTATTCTGTTTGATAGAGAGTTAGGTTGTGAGTGGCAAAGAATATGTGCTTTCGAGAGGATATATTCAATTGAATGTGAATGGAAAAAAGTGAAGTTTTTTCAACAACATATCTGATTTGCACGTACACTATTAATAGATCAATCTCCGTCATATGAGGTATTCTATGTTTTACTAAAAATTGTCTATTACTATTTTGAACCATATGCGACCGCGTATAGTTTATCTTCATTTTTTGTTTCATCATGACGTACATATGTAGATATTTACGTTATCAATTGTTATTAGTATTTTTTTTTGTTACAAAATTTGTGAAAAGTCTCACTACATTCAGTGATAAAAAATCCACTAAATACATGCAAAGTCCCATTACCATCGAAGAAAACACGAGTGCATCTCGATTGAAGAAAAAGTCAGAGTGATTGAGTGTGAATGTATACATGTCGATTTGGGTGTTCTCTTCTCACTCAGACGACTCATGTGTCAACAATAATGAGCCTTTACTTTTTATTGAAGTACAAAAAACTATGACTGGAGCAATTTTTTCGGAAGCGAATTATACATGAAAAAGAATAAGAATTTTACTGTTTCCTTTGTCATGTTGGTTAGCTGCAACGATACTCGTATGAGTTCTCTATTTGATTAGAAGGTAACACATTTTCTTTTACTTTGACTCATACCTCTCGCTTTGAAACAAGTAAATATTTGACGAACATCAACATGAAACTTGCATGTAGTTACCTATTTGATAAAGTTGTGTTTTTTCCTTTCTCAAGTTGTCATGCGCTTTTTTGTGAATAATTCTTATCATTCGTTAGATTTTTTTTTTTTTTTGAAGTACATTATACAAGGCTGTAAATTACAATACCACTTCAACTCATTCAAAGTAAGAAAAAGAAAAAGCTTGCAAAATGAGAAATTTAATTGACATTTACAGATAATGTTGAAGAGGTTTTTTGTTTTAAAAATATCACTCTGGAGCGCGAGTCTAGGAGAGACTTCTTTTTGAGAAATATACGATGAGGATACTCTTTCTCGGTCTGCCATATTATTGAAATACTCAAGTATATCATAAGAAAAAAAAATCAAATTTTGTCTCAGAAGTTTTAGAGAATCAAAACTTTCCCGATAGACTTTTAGACGAATTAGTATCTGTGCAACGCAAAAATTTATCTCCGCAGTTTTTTTTCTGTCGTTCGAAGAACCTATAGTGGATAAAACATGTTAACATTACCAAATGAGAAATAACTATGCTAGGATTGCATGCAATAGTCGATTTAGTATTTTCATCTGGCTTTTTTCCTTAAAAGACGAATCTTAACAATGTGACAATATATTCTTTCGATAATCATCAAACACCCAGTTCCATTCAGACTTTATTTTATTTGTGAAACAAAAACTACATGAAGATACTAAATCGACTATGGACTACAATTTTAAGATAGTTATTTCCATTTTGACAATATTAAAAGTTTTTAATGCCATATCTACAGGTTTTTTTAGAGCATAGAAAACAAGTACGTAAACAATTTTTGTGCTGTACACTTTCTAATTGATCCAGTAGTCTACTCTAAAATTTTCAGCTCTCTAAAACTCGACACAAAAGCTAATTTCTTTTTCTTTAATATTAAAACTGTCTAAACTTGTTGAACAACTAAAGATAACAAAACAATATATATAGTCATCCTTCATAATATTCTCGAGCTTGTATTAGTAAATCAAAACCAAGTATTTCAAACTTGATATTTGTTAGAAGAACAATATCCTATGCTCAATATTCATAATAGATGAGTTGTATGATATCTCTTAACCGATTGATAAAAATGTTGGTCATTCAAAGTCTCACTTGGAGTAAACAAGATTTTTGTCCAAACTGTAATACAAGCGAAAATTGAATCAGTTTATTTTGAAAAGCAAATTCTAATCAAGAAAACAAAACAATGCAAAATTTAATATTTTGTTTGTTTCATTGAGAACAGAAATTTTGGTTGAAAGTGCCCTATTTATGATTGCAACTCGACCCTTCACTTTTACCTAGACTTCCTTTATGATGTTGACGGCTTCAAACATAGTCTAAATTGGATTTTGCAACTTTGATTCAATGAAATGCTAGATTTGACTTTGATGTAATATGTGAAAAATTTCTTCTCTCGAATTTGTTTATATCTGCTTGGATATCAATTTGTTAGAACTTAAAAAATTGACCGAGAAAACTTCTAAAGATGTGCGTCCGATACAGTTTTGTTTTTAATTGATCCAATGCTTGTATCTGGTTTATGGCTTTTAAGTTCAGAAACGGTGTTATTCGTCAAATAAAGCTTTTGTAATTGCTGCGAAACTATATTTCAAAATCAATGGAAAAAAGTTAGAAACGACAAAACTGCCGCGCAAGAAAATGCCGATAGGAGAATTGCGAAAAAGGTCAAAACTGGAAAAAGCTCATTTAGTTGATAATCAGTCAATTTTCCAGATCCTCTACGACTTCATATGGAGAACAACACAAGTAGAAAGTAGCAGTCGAGCAGAATCTCTCTTTCAAAAACGATATTGACCTATTGGATATGAATCGTCTTGCATGCATAGGCTTAGTTTTTAGGAAATCGTTGGCTTGGAATACTAAATCACGGTTGAAAGAGTTTGTACCTGGGTGATTGTCTTGCAGCAGCCACTTTAGTTCTTAGCTTCATAGAAAATATGTTTCAATCGAATAAATTCGCATTTAGTGACGTTCTTCTTTATGGTATCTTTATTTTTCGATATACTCTGTTTTTTTTTTCTTTTGACATTTTCAACCAAGACTAAATATTCTCGCATTCTGCTAATGCCGGCTTTGTAATTTCAAACAACAAATTAACAATTTCAATTGATTTCATGCTTCGTTGTAGAGAAAGAAGTTTCGACATTTTCCCAATGAATGTTTTACTGCATATTATTCATTGCGGTTAACATTTTGTTTTGATAATTTGATCTTGCAAAATTCTAAAAAAAATGTCGACTTGACATCATCATATCGAAGGATCAACAAAATGCATTATCTTCATAGAAGATTGATAATTATCTGTCAATGTGGATGAGCGAAGAAATTACGCTGATGAATCATTGACTGAGACAGCTGTTCGATTTATAGAACGAGAGAAAGATTGAAATGAATCATGATGTATATAGATTTGACAGTAGTCTTGGAAATTTGTTTTTCTTTGTTCATTTAGTAGCAAGTTCAAATAACGTTTCCTAATGTAAGTTCACAGATATGATTGATTATTATTTTGTGAAGGTTGCGAAAAACAAATCATTTTTTTGCAATCTTTTCTCACTTGTAGAGTAGCTTCATTTCAAACATCTCTTTTGTTTTTCACCATGCTGTGTGAAACTTTGCTGCCAATAATTGTCTTTGATTGAGTAATCTGTTCACTCTGCAAAACTGAGATACATTTCTTTCTTTTCAGTATTTCTGCTTGTTTCATTCATCAACATACTCACATTCAAGTATTCAGATCATGGCAATGACAAAAAGTGAATCCTGCTGCATGAAAGATTGCACAATAAAAGTTGTAACGATTTGTTTGGGATGTCCAAAGATGTTTTACTGTCATGAACATTATTTACAACATCGTGAGGATCTCAATCGACAATTAGAAATACTTTCAAATGAGCGGAATTGTCTTATGAATAAAATAGAACAACAAAAAGCAGAACCTCAACAGCATGCATTGATGAAAAAAATCGATGAATGGGAACGCGACTCGATTGCTAAGACTCAACAAGTGGCAAAAGAAGCCAAACAAACATTGCTGTCTCATATTGATAAGTTCTTTCCGAAAGTGGAGCAGCGAATGAGTCCGTTAACGGATGAACTTTGTCAGAAGTCTAACAAGCATACTTTTGTGGACACAGATATAACAAAATGGAAACAAGAGCTAGAAGAACTAAAGACATTACTCGACAATCCATCAGATTTAAAAGTACAAGAAGACTCAACACCACTTGTGACCAAAATTAAAGTTATAATCCTATGTGAGTCTGCTCATTAAATTATATGTGAATTGAAGAGACAGACAGATTTGTTGTAAAAAGAAATAATTAACCGTAATGTCAGATGAAAGAATCGTTGTCCTCAATGCTTTAGAAGATGAATAATTGCATTCAAAATTGTATCGTACTTGTAGAAAGAATAGATGTCTATATTTCTTTAATATTTTCATAAATTGAAACATATCAGTAAAAGTGACTATGTAGACGAAGAAAGCTCTTTTGTAAAAAATATTGTTAAAAGAAAAGTTCAATGCCAAGATCATTTAGTCCAAATAACTATGTTTTGATAAATCAATTTTTGCTCAAGCAAGTCTTTGATTGTGACGAAAAAGCCACAATATGTATTTAGGCGCATGAAAATCAACATAACATATAAAAATGATGCATATTACGTTTTTGAAACTTATTTTCCCTAACCAAATATCACATCGACTTCACTTTTTGTTATTCAAAAGAGTAAACTCTAGCTGGTACACCGAATCAAAACAGTTATAATGAGGGCTGTGGTAATACGAATACAAGTTGTATTCTGAAAAAAATGATATGACCACAAAAAGGTAAGAATTTGAAACATTTGTCAAATTCAAAACATCTGTCGAGGAATAGACAGGCAACGTTACAATCACTTTCTTATACTACAGAAGCTAATTCTAATACATGTCAGTTTGTTTTCTATTCACACGGATACCGTTAAATTCAAACTAAGTGCAAACACTACTACTCATGATCTCGATACACTGTGATACACGTACCATCTTGTATTGAATCAAAAAACGTAGAATTTGAGAATCTGTAGTTTTATGTAGCCTCACGTATTGGCATTGACTGTCATGTCAAGCTATCTTCATTTTGTTATCACATTCGATCATATACCTTTACATTCAAGAACATCTTTCCAATGCACTATATTCGTGTATTTCAGCGGTGCCCTCAATGAGAGGGATGTCATGAACGTATGTTCAGGTCCTTATTCTTCCCCTATGTCTACTTCAAAGACGTATAACTTCAATATTTCCTGTACCTCTCATATCAGTGATTAAACCAAGTTCCAGAAAATCCACAAAAGGCATCATATGAATTTCTAGACTTTTAACCCAATACATGATTATATCTGAGACTAAATGACAATACAAATTTTCAAATTCTAAGCTTTTTTGACTCAGTACATGCATGGCGGACAGTAGTACATGAGTTCATGACATTACAAATTGGATTTGTATTTGTGTATCTCTACAGTTGAAAGTTTGCGAAAGGAAACGACAGTTCGTTTTCATTGTTCATATTCATCGTTCTGTATTGTAAAATAGTCAATAACTGTTTTTGAATTTAATCATGTTTTAAAAGTAGATACAGTCGTAGTAGAATAATGAAAGAATGTCTATATGAATGATGAACTTCGACTTTATTACGAATCGATTATTCACTGAGAATTGTTGTTGTTCGAAATGTGATGAATTTCAATAGACGAGGATAAGATTATTGATGTTGCACTCTTTTTACATTTTCAAAATTATTGTATTACAAAAAACATGTAAAATAATTGTAAAAACTTTCAAGCAACATAGGCACCAGTCTTGATTACAGTCGAGAATAGTTCGAATAATTCCCTGTTACTGTTGAAATAAAACTTCGTTTCCACAAAGCTTGATGTGAATTGATTTTAAGATTCAACTTTTAATATGTGAAAAATTCAGAAGTTATACCCTCATGATTTTTGAAACAATGAACTGAAGTATAATAAGAAATTATTCGTCATAGAAAGACAAAAGCACAATGTTCAAATGTTTTGAGTCAAACGTACCATCCTTTATTAGAATAACAAGGCACTATTTGAGATGCATGTTTTTGTTCATCGTCACATTCAAAATTGATATTGTCGTTGTCGAATGATTTTATGATTTCAATGAAATAAAGCTTAACCTCGCTAGATACTTCTCAAACTAACTCACTCAAATGAACGTACTGTAAGAAAAAAAAGAAAGTCAATCCATCTTTCGAACAAGAGAATGATTTTGTAAGAACGTTTTTTTATTCTTAGTGAAGAACTGAGACAGACAACTTTGTACAACTTATTTTTACAGCGATCAAGAATTGAAACGTGCCGAAATACATATTAAATAAAACAAGTTTTTCAGAGAAACAGAAATCTCATTCGTTGAATATTCGTCAGTCGTTTATTTGAAGAAGCCGATATTTTTCTACTCACGTTCAAAAGGGATCATTACTTACTCATTCTTCATTTTGTCGACTAATGATGTTGGGCCAGTGTCTTTTGAGAAGAATCAGTTCGGCTCTTCTAAGAGAAGAAAAACAAAAGAATGATTTAATGATAACTGATCAAAAAAAATATTCACATGAGCAACCTTAAATTGAACAAGATACTTGAAAATAAGCAATCCTTGTTTTCAACGTTGAGAAAATAAATCCAATTTTCTAATTAAGTACAAATTTCTGAATTTAAAAATCGGATTCTCATCAAGCAATAATGAAAGTTTGTAGAAATATGAAAAAGACGCTTTCGTTGTTGTTTGAACAATTTTCTCAATGATTATATACTTTCGAGAAAATGAACGATCATTCTGCTAAATACTATTGAAAGCTAACGAGTAACTCATTTCAATGAAATTAATGCTCATTTCTATACTCCACTTTTTTGTTTAATTTCAGCTTCACTACGTTCAAATTCGACTGACATTCATTTGAATGCAAAATGGATAGAGAATGGTCTTACTGTGGCTGGAGGAAATAAAGCAGGCAGTGAAATCAATCAACTTCATTACCCATTAGGTTTATACGTCGATGATGATAATACAATTTATGTTGCTGATTTCTCTAATCACCGTATTGTGGAATGGAGATGTGGAGCGACGAATGGTCAAGTGATTGCTGGTGGAAATGGAAGTGGAAATGGAGCTCATCAGTTGAGCAACCCACGAGATGTGATTGTCGACAAAGAGAGAGATAGTCTCATCATCTGTGATTGCAATAATAAAAGAATTGTTCGATGGTCTCGTCGAAATGGTACTAGTGGAGAAACAATCATTTCGAATATCTCTTGTTACGGTTTAACAATGGACGAGAGCGGATCTCTATATATAACTGACTATGAAAAACATGAAGTGAGACGATATAAAATTGGTAATACTGAAGGAATAGTAGTTGCAGGCGGCAATGGAAAAGGAAATCGCCTCGATCAACTCTCCGATCCCCGCTACGTATTTGTCGATCGAGATCATTCAGTGTACGTATCTGAGGAGGGAAACCATCGTGTGATGAAATGGGAAGAAGGTGCAAAGCAAGGCATTGTGGTAGCCGGTGGTCAAGGATCTGGAAATAGTCTTACACAACTGTCACGTCCTTTTGGAGTCGCTGTCGATCAATTGAGCACTGTCTATGTGACTGATCTTGGAAATAATCGAATCATGCGTTGGCCAAAAGGAACCACACAGGGAAGTGTCATTGCTGGTGGAAACGGTTCAGGAGTACAGTCGAATCAACTCAATAGTCCCGTTGGTTTATCATTCGATCGACATGGTAATCTCTATGTCGCCGATCAGTACAATCATCGGGTTCAAAAATTTAATACCAAATAAATTCAGTACCATGATACATTTTTTTGTTCTGTTTCTCTCTCGAGGTCGAACTAAAAGCTCTTTTTTCTCAATTTTCCGTATGACGTACCGTTCGCATATAAATAGTGTTCAAAGACGACAAATTTTTCAGGACTTTGACTTCTTTTTCATGCTTCAAGATAGTTAAACTATCAATCAACAATTTTCTTTACAAGAATGTTGGTAGGATTTTATAGAGTTCTCGTAATGATGCGGTCTGCAGCGGCTATATTCCAGCTTGTGTCAAATTTTGATCAGCAGACTGGTGGAAATGCAACTGTTTCACGGTTATAATGAATAGATGCCTAATTCAAGTTCAAATATAAATGAAAAATCCGAAAAAAAGGCTTCCCTGTTGAAATAGCGAAAAGCAAAAGATAAATTTTATATAATTTAAAAATTTATAATTCGCATAGGTCACCCCTGTTGGAGGGTCACAACAAGTGAGTTACAAAGTGCGTAAACTGCAAATTTCGAGCTCACTTTCGCATTCACGTTTTACCGATCAAATTTAGTCCATGTTTTCTGATTTATATGAACAAGACCCACTTCGAGTGAAATCGTCGGTGGAGAGTAGTATGTGATATTGCATAGGTGATTAGAGGCATAACATGGAATGCTTCAAGCATCACTTAGGATACTAGTAGCATTACCTGGGATGCTACCAACAATGGAAGTATGTATGTTGATAAGTGAAAAGATGGCACATATTCGGGTCAAATGAAAGTTCTCCCCGCCAAACTAACAAGGCTAAAATATTAGCGGCTGTTGGCTTGCCTAGAGGGAGATATTTAAATTTCAAGGTATGTGAAATTTAGGCAGAAAAATGAATCAAAGAAGGTTTTTTCCACTATTATAAGGACAAATAATGGTGTCGTTCGGGCCATATGAAAGAGGATCCCTATAAACCCCATAATCGGCCCAAACAACACTATGTTTTGTCCTTATAATAGTGGAAAAAACCTTCTCTGATTCATTTCTATGCCTAAATTTCACATACCTTGAAATTTAAATATCTCCCTCTAGGCAAGCCAACAGTCGCTAATATTTTAACCTTGTTTGTTTGGCGGTGAGAGCTTTCATTTGACTCGAATATGTGCCATCTTTTCACTTATCAACACACATACTTCCATTGTAAGTAAACATGGAAACGCGTCTAGCCTCCCAGCTAAGACCTCTGGTATGCCAGGTAGAGCTCTGCGGTTCCAAAAATTACCCGGAATCCGAACCGACGATTCCGGTTATCAAAAATGAAAAGAAGTGGTTCCATTTTCGGTTCCTAAAATCTGTTCTAGGAACCATTACTTTTATGATAGTATACAGAATACTGAGTAATAGATTTTTTTAGAAATTCCTATACTCCATTTTTGAGATTGTTGATGTTTATTATTTCGTCAGAAAAAACAACTTTTTCAAAAAGTAAAAGAAAAAATGAAAGAATGAGGAAAAACACTTTAATACAATATGTTCATAGAAAATTATTTATATTGCAAGTACTAAAAAAATGTATTTCATTATTTTCTTTATCTTCCTCATAATCATCATCACTCAGAAGAATATCATCTTTGTCACTCATTTTAAACTTCTTTGGTGTTTTAGGAATGGATTGTTCTTGGTGTCTATAGGAGATTGTAGAATATGGCCATTCAAGCATCTTTCTTTCTGTTTCCGTTGTATTACTTTCAACAATTTTTTACCCATACTGGACCTCTCTTTTATATGCCAGCGTAAAAAAATACGCACAATGTGCCACTACAGAGATCATAAACTGTTTCGACTCAAGATTACTTTGCATTTGAATGGTTCGTTGGTTACCATAAAAAGAATTTTCGGTTTCAACGGTTCCTGTTTCGGGTAAGAGAAAGTGAACCAATTCGGTTCCGGTTCGGTTCTCAGTTTCATTTTTTTGAAATTACAGGGTTCTAATGCCAGGTGATGCTTCTAGCACCTGATGTAATTTACCTTTTCAATATCACATATTACTCTCCATGTAGGTTTCCAGTCGAAGGGAGCGTTACTGCTATAAATGGGAAAAGATTGACTGCATTTGATTGGTAAAATATGGATGCATACGTGAGCTCCAGATTTGGAGTTGACGCCTGAAGCTCACTTTTTTTGACACTGTTGGAGTAGGAAAAAAACAAAAGATAAACCTGCTAATGGCACTATTGGTAGAAATCCTATTCCGAAGTGTACATTACTGTGTACACAGAGATGAGTGTGGATCGCAACTCTGCAAGGGGCACTGCACGTCCCCACGCCGCGGCGCTGAAATAAAAGACCAGTTATGCGGACAAATGCTGTAGTGGACATTTGAATTAGATTTTTGTGTTCGTACCACCAGCAAATCATTTTGGAGGTTTGACTGCGCTGCCCTTTGCAGCTTATAATTATATAATTGATATAAAATGTATCTTTTGCCTTTTTGCTATTTCAATAGGGAAGTCGTTTTTTTTATTTACTTTCGAAGTAATAATAAACACTTAACTGTCCATTTATGTTCGAAGTCGAATTAGACATCTCATAACTGAAATGATACACAAGCAACTATTTCTCTACAAAAGAAAGTCGTAGCTGAACTGTGGTAATTCGTTAAATGATTGTGATACAAGAGTTTTTTGGAAAAAGGCAAAACGTCATTTCAACTCCCGAGCAGCACCAATCGAGGGGTTTTTCGCCAACAACAATATCGTCTCTTCATCAGTAGATTTGTGCACAATTGCCAGAAAGTATTACGAAGAACAATTTCCCAGTCATCAACGTACACAGTCTGAAATTTAAATTGAAGCTAATAATGTAGATGTTGAAATCGAAGAAATCTTGACAAATAAATCTTCTATTCTTATTAAACTTACTTACTATCACCTTCGTCGATCCATTGCTTCTTTAAGAAAACAAAAAATTCGACCGGCATGGATGGTGTATCAGATCGAATAATAGAATTACTCCCAGCAACTCATATCTAGATAATCCTCTCATGCTTTAACAACTTTGCAGCTAGTTTGCAAACGCCGTCGCATTAACACGTTGCTAAATGATTCTTCTATCAAAAACAAAGCCAAAAGTGATTTCTGTTGAAGAAACAAGATCGAGCTCATTACTGTCGTGTTTCTCCAAATTATTTAAAAAGTGTTTTCTGATTCACTTTCGCAAATGGATCAATGAATAAGGGATTTTTCCTGTCAAACAAAGTTGTTTTCGTCCCGATCACCAAATGGCTGTTCAATTAGTTGCTATTATAAACCAAATAGGACAAAGTTTATCAAAGAGCACGGCAGCTGCTGCACTCCTCGTAGACTTCTGCACAGCTTTCAATCAACTTTGGTTCAATAGTTTATGGTTAAAACTTATCCATTTACAATGTTCATTATATTTAATCTTATGGCTTCGTCATTACTTAAGGGGAAGAAGAACATACATTGACATCAAAAACACGTCGTCGATCATGTTCAATGTTTCAAAAGGTGTCCCTTAAAGCAGCTGTATCAAGCCAATGCTATTTATAATTTACCATCATGATATCCTTGAAACATTATCAACTATTCACTGAAAACATTTATTTGTTGACGAGCTTACGATTTTAATCTCATCATCTTCGTCAATGTCTTCATCAAATATGATAAATGAATTAATGGATCAAATAAAACATGTACTTCTTCGCCTAATCAACTATTCAATCAAGTGGAAACAACCAATCAGCTTTAGTAAAATGTATTGGACCCTTTTCCATCGTCAAGTCGCGCCACAAAGTCAAGACATTATATGCAAAGGATACAACGTCGAAAATATCAAGAAACTCAAATATCTTGGTACAATTTAGGTGCTAAATTATCATTTACAGAACATATTGATTACATCAAAACAAAAGTTCAGACCAATATGAATATATTCAAACGACTAGCTTTCAGTCGCATGATGAGTGAAGAAGTAAATTATCGGCTGTATAACGCATTCATAAGACCTTATCTTCAATCAATACTCAACATTTATCCGATTCTCAGCTCAAAGGTCTGAATAGAAAAATCTTCAGATCAATACACCAATGGTTAGATGCAAAAAACATCGACGTTGAAAACCTACCCAAATATCAATCCATTTCGAAACTAACTTACACGCATTGGGATAAATTAACTCATACAATGCTTAGAACAAATCCAAGCGTTATCGAACATTTTCTACAACACAAACTATATCGATTCTATACCTACACAAATATCTTTCAAATCCAGTATTAGCAAATGAAAGAAGAAAAATCTTTGGAAGAGGGAAAATTCCGCAAAAATACTCGCAAACTGTTGACTGAATATTGTTTATCTTTGTTCGATCTTATTTTGTGTTATCATTGATTAAAACCTCTTTCATTCTGTCTATACCATACGTTTTTTTCTTGATCAATGTCTTCTAAAGTTTTTTGTTTCTTTTTGGTCTTTTTTTGTCATTTATCTGCTTCAACTTACCCAGTGAAACATATTCCTCCAAAAAAAACGGCATAGAACGCGTTCCAAAAATACTGGAATGCATTCTTCGCCGTTCCATTTTGGAACGAACTCCAGTTTTTTTGGAACGTTTTCTTTTGTTAAAAAAAGTCAAAGCTTTTTCGTGGAATGCCTTTCTTGACCGTTATCACCTAGACTCACATCTCTTACTAGAATCCTCGAAGAGAAGTTAAGTTAAAATCTGATTCTCCGGGAGACGTATTGTAGTACAACTCGACGATTCTACCATTTTTGGCGTCATATTCAACTTGCCGTGTTCCAGAGTTGTCAATTTTGGCTCAAGATTGACGTTAAATCCAGATGAAAATTTCAACAATTTAGAGAATGACAGATAATGCTTTGGGGAACGGTTCAGAACGCTTTCTATATACATAGAGAACGGTTTTTGAGCTGAGAAGAAAAAATTCCGTAATAGTGTGGAACAGCAAATAATACGTTCCTTCAGATCTAAAACGTTTCTTTTCGTTTATGAACGCCTTCACCAAACTGCGGAACGTGCTCTTCACATAAAAGACAAGTTTTCTTGTTTTCATGAACGCGTTCTATGCCGTTTTTTGGAGAAACATTTTTCACTGGGTATCTTCATCAAATGTTGTTTCAAGCTGTTTTTTATCATGCTATAGGAACGATGTTCCCTGATAGCATAAATAAAAGCATTATACTACTATACTACTATCTTGCAGAGCAATGTTGATAGCGTAGAAAAAAAGAGTTTTATCTATATAGCTTCGTGTGTCTTAGAAAAAAAAATACTGTTACAGAGGTATACTCAAAAATCGGTGTGAACCTATGTTCATCATAAATTTTTATTTTCTAATTTTTAATACAAAAGAATACGAGTGAATGGGTGTTGATTTTGCTGCGCGGATGTCTTCTTTGCGTCTACATCAACTCCCCATCCACATTCACATCCCAATTGACAGCGAAGATGACTTGTTGTGATGCAAAATTTATTTATTTGAACTAGCCAATGGAAGTGAAAATGCATCATTTATATATTTTCTTTGACAAATAAATGAACACCGCTGTTAAATTATAACTAACCGAAAAAGCCGAATAATAAATAAATAATTAAACTAAATGGTTGTATTGATCTTTTTTGATTCACTGAAATCTTCGATTGTAAATTATAGAGCTAGTTGCAAAGAGCACTAACTGAGTTCGTTCTAAAATGATCACTGTATTTTTAACGTCTAGTGTCTGAAACCGACATACGGCGCCATCTGTAATGACAATTTGCAGCTATCGTTGGTGTAGCCAATATAAACTACAGCAGCAGAGAAAAAATAAATAAACATACAAACTTTGTTACTATTGGAGTTCGTCAATATAGTATCTGAAATGTTGTCTTTTTTGTTGCTCGAAAACCGCGAATAAACGCTTGATCTCTATTTATTTTTTAAGATTGACATAAAATACTGAGAAAAGATGATGCGAAAAAAAGTAAAATTCTTCTACAAGCTTCTCTAAGCACTTTATTATTTTTTGGCTAGGTACTTTTAATGGGTAAAAGTGGGGGAGGAAAAACATCGATGCGTTCAATTATTTTTGCTAATTATAGTGCAAAAGATACTCGACGTCTTGGTGCTACAAGTACAAAAAACGATTTCATTTAATTATGATCTATTTAAAAATATTTTGATTATCTTTTTTAGTGGACGTTGAACAATCCTATGTTCGTTTTCTCGGTAATCTTATATTAAATTTATGGGATTGTGGTGGTCAAGAAGCATTTATGGAATGTTATTTTGCTGCACAAAAAGATAATATATTTAAAAATGTCGAAGTACTTATTTATGTATTTGATGTTCAAAGTCAAGAATTGGACAAAGTATGATTATAGAATGAGAAGAAATGATTTTTGTTTAGTGTTCGTTTAGGATTTACACTATTATCAATCATGCCTTGAATCAATTTTACAACATTCAAGTCAGGCAAAAATTTTTTGTCTTATACATAAAATGGATCTAGTACCAGAAGATATGCGAGATAGTGTATGTTAACATTGTTTGTTGTTTATTTTAACATTCTTTTTTTTTTTGTTTGATTAGCTTTTTCTTGAACGACAAAGTATTTTAACTAATGTTTCTAAACCATTACAATGCTCATGTTTTCGCACATCAATTTGGGATGAAACACTTTATAAAGTAAAATAATTCTTGAAAGGAAAAACATTATTAAATAAGATATTACTTTCTTTAGGCTTGGTCACAAATTGTTTATCAATTAGTACCAAATGTAAAAGGATTAGAAAAAACGTTAACTAATTTTGCAGACATTATTGACGCTGATGAAATTCTTCTTTTTGAAAAAGCAACTTTTTTAGTAAAATTTATTATGATTTTATTTGAATAAATACAAATAGTTTACTATTTATATAGGTCATTTCACATTGTACACGTAAGCCTCATAGAGATGCACGAAGATTTGAAAAGATAAGTGATATTATTAAACAATTCAAATTATCATGCAGGTAAATAATATTTCATTTTAAAATTTTATAAGTACTTTTTTTTTTAATATTAGTAAATTAACTGCAGCGTTTCAATCAATGGAAGTACGAAATTCAACATTTGCTTGTTTTATTGAATTATTAACACCAAATACTTATGTTATGGTTGTAATTAGTGATCCATCTATCTGTAAGTGTTATTCTATATTACATGGAGAAATATTTGTTATTATTAAAATTGATTTTTCTCTTTAATATAAATATTATTCTTTTGCACTATATTAACAATATTGAGATCCAAAATAATTTATCTACCGATAGCTAGTTTAAATTAAGAAAATTGCTTTCAAAGAATAAATATGAGTAATGTTTGTTTTAGTTAACTTGGATTAACATTGATGATAGATAAGTTCAACATGGATTCTATATTTCAATCTCCATATAAGTATATAAGGAATGATGGATTTGAGCTATGAGCACAATAATACTCTTCATCGAAGAATATTTTGCTGAAAATCCACTTAAAATTGTAGGATTTTCTTTTTTTTTTATAGAACAACAAAATCGAGAATTTCACAAATAAAGAGCAGTCGTTCTATATACTAAACAGGCAAAAAATAGGAGAATATTTTCGAATAACAGTTTCTTCTTTCTGTTTATATTCTATATTGCATTGATTTGATTGCATGATGTAGTACTATTGATCGATGTAACCAGAGCTGGGCAAATAGAAATTTTCTCAAGTATGTATTTGTCTAGCTCTGAATATAAAAAAATGATTTGATGACATTTGGTACTTATTTTTGGTAAACACTCTTCATTATCAACTAAGAATCAGCTTGAGAATACATACAACGGATAACACAATTTTAGATGCACTAATACATAGGACACAAAAAATAGAGTTCAATAATAGATAATTAGATTATCGAATATTTTGTCAATTCAACTCATTTATCATATTGATAAATAGTATTGAAGCACTTATTGAAATAGAATTTTAAAAAGTATTCTTTGAATTGATATCCACTTCAAAATAAATGAGTGCAATGACGACAAAACAAAATTTACTTTTCTTTTTATCCAAGGATGTTCATTCGATACGGATTACCATCTAAAATAAACTTTCATTTATTTTTATTTAGCATCGGAAGTGACATTAATGAATATTCGGAATGCTCGAAAAGTATTTGAAAAACTTGAAAAAGACGTTTCTCGAAATTAAATTTCATTATTATACCGGTAAATGGAATAAGAAAAATATATTTATAAAATAATTTTCTTGCCATTCAGCTCAAATGTAGCAAAACAAAAAATATCATAGAAATCAGAATTAATCTTTCTCTTTTTTCTTTCATGTTTTTTTACTTATCTTTCAAATTTGCCGGCTGGTATTGTTATGTACTTGTGTATTCCTTTGTTTAATGATCACTTGTCAAACAACAGTTGTTTTTTTTTTTCTTTGTCTTCTATATCTTTTTTTTTATATGCATAACATAATCGAAATAAATGTTTTTTTTTCATCTATAAAACACAATTCTTCTGTTTTCTTTTTCTTTTTATATTTGTTCTATAGATTGCATAGTGACATCACTCGACTTTTTGTTTTTTTCATTAGTGTTATTATTTCTCCAATCGAATGATGAACCAAGACGAATCGTAAGAACAGTAATAATACAGATAAAAAATGATAATTGAACCCATGAAGCTATTATAGCTAATAACATATAGGAAAAAAATGATGAAACATTAGGATATTGTTCAAAAATTAATTGATTTAGTTGAGTACATGAAGTTACACGACTGTCATTTGATGTGATGGTTGAACAAAATTTTAAAAAACCATTCGTTAATATAGATGCATTTACTAAGGAGAAAATACCGAGTATAATAGAAATAGGAAACCTAGAAAAAAGAATAATAAGATTATTCGAGAAGAATTTTCCTTTTACCATGGAATGATCAAACATTGATCATTTGTTGCCACTATTTGTTGATCACCATTAAATAATATAAAAAAGAATCCCGTCATAATACAATAAATAAATGTAAAAACGTTATAAAATGTACAAAAATCACATGTTGATTGCGAACTAAATCTTTCTGATAATGGTATTATTTTCGTTGTCCAATTACTTTCACTTGTTGTAAATATTTGAAATTTAAATGAAGCATAAAGTGGACATTGTTGTTTAAATTGTACTATACTTGAACCAACAATTAGTGCGACTGTAAAACTAGTTAAACCAATTAATGCTATAAATATAAGAAATATAATACGTAAAGTACTATCAGACAAAGGTGGGAGTTTTAATGATGTTAAGAAGTTTTTATAATCAGAATATAAGCGTAAAACAAATGTTTGTTGTTTAATGTTTGGTGACGTTTGTTTTTCATTATTATTATTTGTTTCACATATAATAATAATAGTATCTTCATTGACATTTTTTTCTTGTAATACTGAAGACATAGGAATTAATTGTTGTTGTTCTTCTTCATTGTTTATGATAGTTGTATCCATATTTTAATCGTTAAAATAATGATTGAATTCTATTCTTATACGTTTAAATATTTTATTGTGCATAGAAACGATAATCGATAAAAAGAAAAAAGAATGAAAATGTTTTTCATTTATTCTTTTTCTCTATGTTCATTAGTCACCTGTATCTGATTGACATTAAGGTTTGGAGTATATTGGAATGTATTAACTAGAAAATCTGAGAAGAAAAAGGTTAATGATTATAATCATACATATGTAATCGTTTTAGATGATACTTAATAATCAACTATTTTCATTATCAAAAAAAAAAAGAGAAAATCAATATGTAAGTTATTTCGTTTTAGAACTTTTGAAATAATAATTAAGAATACAATTCAATAGCCTTACTAACAACGCAAAGATAGATGGTATCAATCAATTATGTAGAATAGAGCATGACTTATATTTTCTGTCAGAGATAGACGATAAGAGTTTTTTTTTACGTTCTATTCTGAAGAATGAAGTTTATGTTTTCTATCACAAGAAAAAAAAATAGTCGTTGTTCTCTGTTTCCGGCACTTTTTTTGCTTTTTCTTTTCTATCCTGTCAATGTTTATAACTTACTGTAATACAAGTGGTTTCTTACCATGGTTGCATTTATTATTCTGTCTATGATTTTATTCTGCTCAAAAAAAAAAACCTTCGACAAATCTTTATCACTGGATAATAAAGAATATTGTTAAACAAACAATCGCAAAGAAGATTAATTGATTCCACCGGGAACTCGGGAGAGAAAAAGCCAATCTATTTACTGCATTTTTGATTGCATCAAAGAAATGTACGAATACTTGTCTCAGTATTTCATTTACTAGGTATATTATTCTTATTACCTTATGATACGAATACTGAGCACTCATTTTTACCTTTAGGCTATTTATTCTAAATAATTTATATAAGCATAAATGTTTAGATTTATTGTTAGGGTTACAATAAAAACAGTGGCAAAGCCAGGCTTTCGGGCTAGGAGGGCTGAGCCGTCTCCCTCTTTCTTCTGCTGTTGTTTTCCTATTGTAATACATTCTTAATGAGAGCAATAAACTGTATATCGATTTTCTCGGAATATATGAGAACAGAACAAAGAAAACACCTATATATATATGTAAGAAACCAAAAGAAATACCATTTTAAACTCATTTTCATAATAGATTTTTAATACAACTGTTAGTTTTTTTTTATCGAGTCTATGTTGAATAAACTAGACACAAAATCAGACTGTATGAAAATATTGTCAACAATCTATTGTTTTGAATTCAACGATAGAAAATTTGACGAGCTGATTTATTTCTACTACGTTCTCTTAACTGGTAGAGAATTTCTGTGTTATTTCTTCTGGTTTTGGTGCAATTCATTTCTTTTTTAGGTTTGTATATGAATGTAACTCATTTTGACACACATCGAATTACCCTATTATCATTAAGTACAAAGCCAGAAAAGCGATCCAGAGCATCTGCTATTTTTCCTATTCTTAAATATAGTTATAAGCACTTAAAGCAGGTAGATTAATTATTATTTCAGGGGTATACATAAGCCTCTAGAAGAGCAAGAGAAGGTTGCTGTAATATCTTCTTTCATATACAATGATTACCAAAATTATTCAACAAGGCTTATTTTCATTTTTTTTTTCTGCTTCTCTAAGCGGTAGAAGAATCCAAATAATAAATCCGGTAGAGAAAATTGTTTCTACCAGGAATATAAGGAAATAAAAATTATCATCAAATTTCCGAAGATAAGGACTTAAGAAAGCTAGAACTATAGTTTTTCAGCCCCTAGAACGTTTAAATATAACTTTTTTTAAACTACATAAAACAATAGAGTCAACCATTCTCTACAAAATGAAACATCTCCGAGTTGTCTATGACGTCTTTGGGCTGCGATACAGTAATCTTACGGAAGCTTCGGGAATCAGTTTTTTACTACTTTCTATTAAAAAAAAACATATTTTGACTTTCAATTAAGTTACTGTATATCAGTTAAAAAGGCGTAATCAAGAACTTGGAGTCAATTCATTTTGTAGAAAACTATTTGCTTTGTCATTCTATGAAGTTCAAACAAAATTATATTTACGGTAAACCCTACTTTGTTCGAAAAGTCAGAATGTCGACATAAAAAACGAAGAATCAAAATATGCATGTAAGTGTAAAGATGAGGGTAAAACACTTTCTCCTTTCATACACTAGCATTTGCAAAATTTGCATCTCTCGACATTTTACTTTCGATGGAAGTAGGATGAATCATACTTACCCGCTCGAGATGTTGAAAAACTATGGATTTTTCTTCCTGAAGTTTCTCTTTAGGAAGCTAATAATAATTATTATTTCCTTATATTCTTGATGGAAACAATTTTCTCTAATCGAATTATTACTTGAATTATTTCTAACTCTTATAGTAGCACAAAAAAAATTGAACATCAACTGTGTTAAATAAAAATCTTTAGAAGCAGAGGGAAAATACGCAATGTCATGAGTTATTTCTATTGAAATTGACTTTGCTTTTGTATAATAAATAAGATTTGTTTAATAAATATTTTTCTTTTCGAATATTTCAAAATAAAAGAAAAATAGTTTTATTTTTCTCTATCAAAATGGTGATAATATTGTGTGTACACAACTGGACTTTTCATTAATGGTTTATCTATCATGTTCGAATGATATTTATCATTAAACATGTTTCTATTTCTGATGACATCTGTTTGTTTTTTTTTTGTGTGTATTAACCAAGATTGTAATGTCATAAATCATATGCGAATTTACATTTATTTGTAAAATTTTATCAAAGATTTAGTGAATGAAAGTGAAATCTGTTTTTCTTTAAATCATTTTGATAACTGTGTAGATATATACACTTGATATGATATACTGGTTTTTACGGCGTCAATAAATTATATTACTTTTCACGATTATCTACAGTAATCACAGAAAAGTTCCTCTACTAGATAAAAAATTCTTGAACTTTAATCTTTTAGTTTCATAGTTTAACCACAAATAGAATATGTTGACCTTTGATCACAAGGATTTAATAGGCCTTCATACAGAGAAGCTAGAAGGTTAACATAGAGTTTTTCTTCAGACAAGGATATATCAACATAGGAAATAAATCTCACTACGCCAGAATCCTTCTTCGATAGTTCAATGCAGTCTCTATCACCAATAAAAAAATCCATGTCAAACGTTTTTAGTTTGTCTGATTTATGAAGTCATTTTTGAGTAATTTCCGCATGAAAGTTAATGGGAATTATCAAAAGGTGACCGATATATGCGACTAAATTTAATCATTTGCCTTGAAACATTCTCCAACGAGTACTCTTGTTTAATCAAGTTTTTCTGCAAAATTTCACTGTCGAAGAACAAAAAATCCATACTGAGTTCGTTCCAGGTAATGGAGGATTCTTTGTGTTTCAAAGTTATAGTGGATTGAAGTACTTTTTTTGTAACATATTATAGACATGTGAATCTTTATTTTTTAATAAGATAATGAAGATAAACACATTCAAATAGTGGACAACGAGAAAAGTGTCAAAAACACTGTTTTTTGGATTCTAGAGAAAATTGTTTTTCAATTTGTCAGTGAAAATCTTTCACTATTCAACATTGATTTGCACACATAGTTTCAAATGTTGTGATATTTATGAAACTCGAATATACAATATATATTTCCAGAAAAAGAATTTTACTTGTTTGTTGTTTGAAAAAAATATTTTATCATAATTTTATTTATTTTCTAGATTTTTCTTCATCAAGTTTTAGTTGTTACTAAAACGAGTTGTTTAATAATTTCAATCTTATTATCGTCGCTTTTAGCAACAATTTTTACACCCCAATTTATAACGGATATCTTATCACTTGAAAAACAATAGAATTATACTTTACAAGAAATTCTTGTTAAAGATATAAAAAAAAGAATATTCAATAAACTTTTCTGAAAATGTATCTGAAAATAAAAGGTGATCGCAAAAGTTTAAAAATATCATGTTTTTATTTATCGAAGCTTTTTTTAACAACGCCATTTTAGAGTGCACGAAACTCTTAACGAAATGAGAAGTCGTCGCATTTTCTACGACCTGCCCTTGAAAAGTTAAAAGTGTCAAAAAGAAACGAAGAAAGTCGTCTTTTATTCGATTTTTTGATTAATTTTATTTTTTTGTACGGTTTTTCTAATGGTGTCAACTTTTCAAGGGAAGATCGTAGAAAATGCGGCAATCCCTTTTTTCTGTACTCTGTAAAATGGCATTGTTAAAAAATAGCTACGACGAAGTTTTCTGAGGTCGAAAAACTACTGTATTCAGTTTATTACAAACTTTGCCATCATAGCTCATCTATAAAATCTTTTATAAAAAAAGAAAAACGAAAAATTTGTTATTGTGAAACTTTTTTCTACTACCTTATATTAAAATCGAATATGTCTAAAACAAATGCGATACATCTACGTCATTCTAAATAGATAGTTAAATACAAAATAATTGCCCTTAATTAATGTCAGTGATCATAATAAAAAAAAACTCGATGTCATAATGATTTTGAAAACTTCAATTAGTTAATTATATGATCGGGAATTGTTTTTAGATTTTTGCTTGGAATTCTACATGTCACATTTATTTAGTGGTGACTTACCATTACCGTCAAACACTACTACTACAACTAATCACATACTGCCTATTGTTGGTGATCTCATGGCACTTCCACCGTAAGATCTTTCTGCATGTATTTATTTTATTTTATTTTATATGATCTAAATCTATTTTAGATATAATATAGATGATTTGATTACTCCAAATAGTTCGTTAACTAATATAACAAGTTTACCAAATGGTGATACAGCACGTTCTTTACTTGCTAGTCACGATGGTCTGACAACTAACATCAATAATACTACTCATACAATTTCACCATCATCAAGTGTAAATAATACATTACCGAAAATTGAGCCTCTACATGGTCTTTTACTTGGTAATACAACAGCATTTGATGCTGTAACTACTCAACAAC